GTCAGAAGAGGGCCTTGGTTCCTCTAGAATTAGAGTGAGAGGGTGTTGTATGTCACCATATGGATGTAAGAAACTGAACACCAGGTCATTTGCATGACAACCAATGTTCTTAGCTGCTGAGCCATCTTTTTAAACTAGAGAGCAATATTTCTTTTTCTTTTTATATACTTTTCCTTTTGAATGTTTTAAATTTATACCTATTAACCCTTGGATGGGAAAGAAAGACATTTTATGTTAAAATATCTTCTGTTTAGGGTTCAGGTATGAGGTGTCAGAGCTGAGAATGAGTATATGTGATTATCATGAATCCTAGGAAATTAGTCTAGAAATCTACATGTTTTTTGTAAACTTAGACAATCACATACATTTTGTTGTTTAATTAAATGAAATAAAAATAAAATAAAATTCACAGATTAGCATTTCATATATCAATAATGGAGATCCTTTCCTTGGTCAGGTAGAATAAATGGTCCTCCCTATGAGAAATAACTTAACACATTTGGCATGCTCATCAACTCATTAGTGCTACAAGGCTCCATAAAGCATTGATTGGTTTTTATCAGTAGGCAGGAAATAAATGAGATATAGCACAGTGAGTATTTTTATTTCAACATCATTGAAAATAAACTTTTAAGATTAAAAAACCAACCAAACCAAAAAGTTAAGTTATTCCATAGACATTCTTTCTCCTGTGAATAATTTGAGTAATTTTAAAGCATGCGTTTCACCTGCAAATTTATGTCAAAGTTAAATGCTATGAAAAGTCTTTTTCACACTTCCATAAAAGCTGTAGTGCTGCTCACTAGCTGTAATTGCAATGGCCCACTGTTCAAGGAGATGTTTGCTTCCTTTGGCCATCATGTCTCTTTGCATGGCTATAGATATATACCCAAACCAGAAGAGATGAATATACACAGAGGCATATAAGAAGTCAACTCACTTGGCTTGTGATTTGGGGATTTGCAGGTGTAGAGCAAGTCATTTGCACGAAATTACCCCTGCTTGTATGATTCTCCTTCCAATAAGTTAGAATCCTAGTTCGCTCATATTTGAAGCATTTTCATTCAACAAGGCCCCTGAAACAGACTGAAATGGGCGGGGGCAATAGTTCCCATTGGTATTTAATAGGGATTAGGTGCTCAGATTAGCCACCTGCCAAATGATGAGCTTTCTAGAATGAGGTGGAATAAACAGAGAGAGCATCTGTATAGGTCAAAGTTCAGGCATTAGAATTGAAGTCCCTGGGAAGTCATGGAAATAGCCTGAAGACAAGGACCACTAATGATGTGTTAGCACAGGGAGGGCTTGACACTGAGAATGAACTCCCTCTGTTTCATATTTTGCATCCAGCTGTTAAAATCACGGGATTTGGCCAGACCTATGATAAAATGAGGGTGCATTGAGTTTGATTACAGAAACATAAGAATAAATGAAAAAGAGGCAACAATATTCATTTACTCTGTCACTATGCTTCTGCAAGAATGAAGCTTCTTTCATTTAACTTAATCAAGAAATATGTAATGATCTATTATCAAATGGGACACATTTAGTCTCAATAACTATGAAAACACAAAATGAATAGCTTAATACAAAATCAAACAAAATTGAAAAGGAGAAAAATTTTGACAGAATTGATTTCAATAATCAAATGGTTATATGAATTTCATCCCAAATAATTTTCCATATTAAATTATGCATGTAACATTATTAAACTTCTTATATGTTATATATGGTAATATAATATATCCATACACATATGTTCAGAATATAAAAACTAATTTGTTTTCCTCTACTTTAATATTTCTAACAGAGAAGTGTCAACCATAGTTTTAGAAGGATATAGTCATTTTACATCATTTTTGTGATCCTTTGTCAATATATTATGTTTAAAAACTCTAATTTTCATCCTTAAAATCTTGATTGTGAAAACATCTTAAAATCCTAGTGGTTATTGGCTTTAAAACCTGCAAACATCCAGATTGTTACTCTAAATAAATAAATAAATAAATAAGCAAAAAAAAAAAAAACCCAATTAACTCTGGATGTGATGCTCATCTCATTCAGCTGCCGTCAGAGTTGTATGTGCAATGGGGCTTTCTGGGGCCACTGCAAATGTGAAGCACAGTCTCAGCTAGTGATACTCTTGAGATTGTTTAGTAATCATCTATTAACACATTTTGAGCTCCTACTGCTCCATCCAAAGTAGATCATAATCTTCCAAGACATGTTGTGGGAATCAGACAACATGGTCTGGTAAGGACACCATGAGCTTCCCTGGTCCAAGCATCTCTCTACAGCTTATTAGGAAGATCTGATTGAGTCACCTGAAAGCTACTAGCTGCAGGAGTCCAGCTCCAGCCTGTCAAAAGTTTCCTGCAGGGAGGAGAGAGGAATGAGGAAGTATTAGATATAAATACAGATCTAGACAACAAGAAAGACAGAGACACAGGGAAGCTTCGGGAGGGTCCTGGGTCAATACCCAGTCACCTTGTCCTTTATTCTAATGGGCTTTTTATACACTACCAAGTGGAGAGGTAAAAGACCTCCCCCTTTCATGATCAAAACACAACATACAGCAGAAACCACCTGGAAACCACACCCATAGCCAAATCATCCCATTATGGTAGCCCTGCTGGGTAAAGCAAGCTCAGATTCTCTGACCTTGAGTAAGATCTTAATAGGGAGCCTCTGTGGGCCTCCACAACTAACTGTACATTTATTTGGAGGATTAGTCCATAGATACCCCAAACAGATAAAATGAACAAAGTGAACCCTGCTCCTCTGTAGGGCGCTGACGGCATTTGAGGCAGGTAGGAAACAGGAGATACTCCGGCTTTGGTAGGAAGGAGGTTCACATGTATCAAAAAGATCTGGTTTCAAAGGTGAAAAGGCTTTCCATCATGGTGGAATAATAACAAAGTCATACCCTGTAATTTTTTACTTTTTCACTTTTATTTTACTGAAGAATTTTTAGTGATAGAAGTATGTGTAGTCTTAAGGAAACCATCCATACTTGGGGACAAGGAAAAAATTGAATCATGACACATGAAATTTTACACTGAGCTTTTGAGGTTTCATGGAAATCACTCACCTCAGGTCTTCCTTCATGTAGAAAATACAGATTCAAACTTAATAAAATCCTGCATTGCCACATATATTTCAGATTCTACTACCATGTGCTAGTTATTTGATGAAGATACTGAATTCAAATAAAATACTTCCCAGTCCTATAGGCCACCTCTGACCCTCTTGGGAAGCTGTATTCTCTGCTATCCAGTCCACATTAACTCATCTTCAGAGACAAGAGGAGCTCGCTACTCTAGTACCGTAGTGTTCACAATTCTCCTCTGGTCCTGGTGTTATTTTACCTGGCACCACCAGGAGAAATCTCATGAGGTCATTTCTCTTGAGTTACAGTCAAAAGAAACAAATTGAAAACCAGCCATTAAATACATTGTGCTTGACTTCTGAGGCGACTCCAAATGTTAATATTATTCTTGCCTTATACGTCAATTTAAGTACTGATTTTTATTTTCTTTTTTTTTTTTATTTTGTGGGTGTGATAGGCTGAAAGGAATGCATAGAATAAGGGGAACAAACCTATATGACTAATCAACATTCAGGATAATAATCATCTAGAAACAACCAGGAGTTTTTAATTAAATTGAACAATGCATCACATCTAAGCACCAATGCTTAGCAAAATTTTTTTTTTTTAGTTGTTGCTGACATTGTTTCATTTTTCTGATCCTGATAGCAAAAGTATTTTAGGTAATTTAATGGCTGACTTCAGTTGATGTCTTTGACTTTACCTCAGTACCTCACCCCAGCATACTCCAATGCTTACATGTTACCGCTTAAGTATTTTTCCATTGTATATTTTAATGCATCTTCCAGAAATAGTAAATGCCTTCCTGGGGAGAAGTAACTGAAGTATTGTCATAGTTTGGAGAGAAGGTTTGCACAGTTCATACATACGTATAGAGAGACACGGTGTAGACAGGAGACTCACAGACCCGCATAGTTATTACAATAAGTCTGGCTTATTACAAACTTATTACAATAAGTTTCACTGTTTCATCATCATCTAACACTCATCATTAGTCTAACATTCTCCTAAAATGGAGGTCAGGAAAGCAGCCACATGGCTTAACAAAAAGAATGAGGGGAAGCATTCACATAGGAGAAACCTGAAAACACACAACCTACACCCTGTGCAGAGACAGATGCATTATGGAATACAGTATTTAGATTATGCAGAGCAGAAAATGCTACAACCATTATTTTTGCTGGAAATGGATGTGTGCTTCTTATTGCTAAGTTCACTACAAATCAAAAATATCATGTTTGGTTTTTTTTGATGATTTATTGTGCATATCTAATGTTACCTAAAAGCAAGAAATTAAACTCAAAGTACTCCCAAGGCATACACACACACACACACACACACACACACACACACACACACACACACACTCAATTTGAGAATTTTGTTGCTACATTTTTATGCACAGTGAGATCAAAAGATGGAGAAGGCAAGTTAGCCATAGTTTTGTGGATTTCCTTCCTGTTGGATGAAATGCATAGTTGGATAGATTATATCACCTCAGAGGTAAATGATTGTTCAACAGTGTTTTCACTTCTCCTGTTCCTAAACCTCCCTAAACTGTAGAAGCAATGACATCATTTAACATAGAACATACAGTATTTGGTACCCATAAATGTAGAAGAAACTTGTTCTTTTTGTTCAGCATCTAGTTATCTTTAACTAACCCATATATGTAAACATAGGAACAACAAAAAAGAGGAAAAATAAACTTCTTACTCTCATTATTTTATTCACATAGCATGTCTTAGATTGACTAAATCTGATCACTGAGCAACTTACTAAAATTTGTTTAAGAAATTTGACTGTGTGAAATTATTTGTGTTTGCTTTATTCCAGGAAAATAATTTAATTTAGTGGAATGAAAGTTTTGACTCACTTTCTTTTTCTTCAGATTTTCTTTTCTGTTTGCACTGCTTTCTGGGGAGTAAGAAGCATGAAACGACTCACCGCTGGCTCTTGGAAATAGCCCAACTACAGACAGCTCTCTTGATCCTGTCAGTCATCCATGGCAGGTCACTGCTACAGAAAGATCGTTGTCTTACATACTGCCTACAGGAGCTACTTAGTTAATGAAAAATGAAAGTACTTATTTACCTATGCTTTTCATGTTTGTTTTTCTGTTAAAATTAAAGTGAAGTATACTATTTGCTCTCACTAAAAGCCAGATTATTTTTTATATATTGAGGCTATATTCACTTTTCTTGTCTGTCGCAATGCCTATGGAAAGGAAAGGGTGAGCTTAAAATATTTAACAAAATGAAAATTACATTTGTCTTGCTTGGTTAGACAACTTTTCCTTTAACATTTGCTAAAACTATACTTAAATACATCTCTGTCGTCTTTAAAATGTGTTGGAGTCTACGTGAGCTGGCATTTGCCTTTGCAAATAAATCATCTATATTACCACATTACATAAAAATACATCAATGTGGTGAAAATGATTAAAACTGGACAGAATTAGTTGTTCAACATGTTAGTTTATAAAACATACTTCTAGAATGGTGGGTTGACTTGTTTCAACAGCTTGAGGAGTACATTGTAATTCATGCTGTTTCAAATAGTCACAATAATGTTAATAAAATCATCTGAACAGAAGCGACAAAAATGGTGTGTATATACTGCTTATGAAATATTAAAAGTCTGTTGTATGTTCCATTTGAAAATACTGACAGAGATAAGAACTGAGTTCAGAAAAGTGATGGAAAAAAGTCTTTAAAAAGTAAGAATTCTTCCCTTCCTCCAATATTTATCAGACAATTTTCAAACGACAATTTTAGCAGTCCGAGTCAAAATTACTCTCTACTTACATGCATCACTGAATTAAGAGGACTAGCTCTAGTTGCTCAGCCTCACTTTTAAGTATGTTACTTAAGATTTGAATAAAAAAAACGTTGGGAGCTGACAGAGAATCAGGCTGCAGGAGTCTGTGCGTACTCATGAGGCAGAACTGAAGCACATTTACTTTTCAAGCTGAAACAGCAGAAGAAAATTAACTTTGCATGATGGAAATATTAATAATTATATCTCAAGCGTCAGAAGTGGGTTTGGCTTTGCTTCATTCAGTTTTTATACTTCTTAATTAAATGCAGGATTTGAGCAAATTCTGAGGTCAATAACAAATATTAAATCCTACTTTGGTGCCTCATTAACAGGCATTGTTGGCCTTCATAGGTATAGACAGACCTACCTTACAGGAGAGAGCCCTCTGCTGGTTTGAAACTATTAATGTACCATTAAAATTCTTGAGATGCATATTATATATTCCCAAGAATTTCTATGCTATAAGTTACATCATTCATTAATGGAAAGAAAATAGAATTTTTATTGATTCTCAAATATTTACTTAACATGCCAAAATAATTTTATGATGGGGGCATCCTTGAATATATGTGAATATACAGGGGTAGTTTAAAATCAGTTTAATCATGAAAATAATTCATGTGCAACTCAGGTTTCTTTGAATAAACTCAAATGTATTTGTTTTCCATTTTCTACCTTAATTTTTTCACTGTGACTTAAATAATTTTCTTTTAGAAATACAGGTATTTTCAAGTCACAAATTTCCAAGCCTTTGAATATGGATATGGGTCCCAGATAGGCAATGTGCCTCGGGCCTCTGTGCCTGAGACAGGACAATCTTTCAGCCTTCAACCTTGCTAATTTTCCGGTCCTATTTTCTCTGGCAAACACTAATGCATGATGACAGATCTTGCAACTCTTAGTAACATCGTAAATTGATCTTGAATGGTTCCGTGTAATTTATGCTGGTCCTTGACTGGAAGGACTTTAATTGTCCCTACTTTTCTCCCTCAAGAGAATAGCACTGAAAATAGGGCTCATCAATTACCCGTTTTTGATGGAGAGGTGCACAGTGCCTTTGCAATAGTCACAGGGACACTCAGTCCCACTTATCTATCAAGAGGACAAAAATTCATTTATAGGACAGAACTCTATTAACAATATTTAATGAAACCTCTAAATTACTGCAGAAACGGGTATTACAAAACCATTTTGCAGAACTCTGAGGTGGTTAAATCATTTACCCAAGGCCACCATGGAACACAGTTGATGGCCATTCTTTTTTAATTCTCTGAATCCTAACATCAAAGACTGTGACACTTCTCCATTTCCTGCTAGAAGGTATTCAGAGCATAATTCAAGGATTATAGTTCATGTGCAGAGTATGCCTTTACTTTTCAATTTGATGCTTCTATTAAAAAAAAGGTTTGAAGAAAAATTTTTCTGTAGTAGTTTAGAAAGTATATGAGTCCTGGGCTTTTAAACCTTGTAAGATTGGTATCTTAATTAAGTTTCTATTTCTGTGATAAAGATACCATAACCAAAAGCATCTTGGGGAGGAAAAGGTTTATTTCAGATTACACTTTCAGGTAACAGTCAAGGTTGGAGTTGTTGAAGCAGATCATGGACCAATGCTACTCACTGCCTTGCTCGCATGGCTCTTTTAGCCTGCTCTCTCATACTACACAGCATAAGCTGCCAGGTGGTAACACTGCTCACAGTGGGCCTTGCCCACTGTATCATAGCTACTTGATATTATATTAATTATCAATCAAGAAAATGCCACAGACTAGGCTACAGGTAATCTGATAGAGACATTTTCTTAATTGAGGCTCTTCTACCCAAGGGACCTTGGCTTGCATCACATGGACACAAAAATACAACCTGGATAATTGGTAATGTACTAGTTTTATTGATAAGCTTGTCATAGGCATAAAAGAGTCCATCCCTGTTCTTGGTCTGTCTTTTTCGCTAGAATTGCCCTTTCATTTTCCTGGCACTAATTGATAATCATATTTGTTAAACTGCATGTAATCTTCACAAGGCCATGCTATTTGGGATATGTGACTCTGTAATTTAATTGCATTCAGAGGTTCAACTAGCCACTAAACAGAATGAGCCCTCCTTACAGTTGGCATTCCTAGCTTACATTACTGTTCATTAGATTCCCCAAATCTTGCTCTACTGTAGCATGTAATTAAACTGTTCAGTAAGAAATCTACAGTAGGAATACAGAGAGGCCTTCTGTAAAGTCAGGATGCATTTTGGTTTAAGGAGATGCAATCTACCAGGGAGAGTGGCTATAGCCAGAATCCAAGCTCCTTCTTTCTTTCCTACTCCCCATTTTCTCAAAACCTCCATGGAAGATGAAAAGCATACAGCGTACCTTGGCTTCCAGAAACTTAAAGTAATTTTCATGTCACGATTCTCAGCAACTCTTCGGAAGCAAAAGGCTTCATCTAAGCTTGCCTCCAAGGAAAGAAACTGACAAATTGTTTCCATGATTAGAGTATATTTTTTCAAATCTCATTCTGTCCTTCCTTGTATTCAACAACATAGCAGCTTAGCCCCTCTTCTCACAAAGGACAAAATTAGAAAGGGTTATTCTCAAAATGAAATGATTTCTCACGGTTGTAATAAGCAACCACTCTCTAATTGGATTTAAGCTCTGTTCCATGAGATGAAACCCATTCCGGACACTTCTCAGGAGGCCAAGAATCTGAGACTAGATAAGCCGTGGGCCTAGGAGAAAACCAAATACTATGCTTCTGCTAAAGGAACATAGAAATAAAATGACTTCTCTCAACATTCTACTATACCCATGGATCAGTCCCTTCCTCAGCCATCATCAGACAGGCTTCCTCCTGCAGCACATGGGAACTAACATAGAGACCCACACCTGGACAATGTCCAGAGAGTGAGAGATTTGGGGTACTCAGTCCTGAATGGGATGTCTTCATCAAACCCCTCCTGTCATGGCTCAGAAAGTTCTGCTAAAGAAGAGGAAGAAAGATTGTAAGAGCCAGAGGTGATGGATGAATCCAAGAAAACAGTGTCTTCCAGATGCATCAGGGTTGACACACATATGACCTCACAGAGAGAGATGTGGCAGCATTCATGGGGCCAGCACAGGCCTACATCAGATGGGGTCCCAGTGTTCAGAAGGGGGGTAGACATGTCCTTCTGTCCCTAAGGAAGAAGCTATCACTAATTTGCATCTGTTTGCAATGAAAAAATTAGTGTTCTGCAGTGGAGTCTCCTTGAATATTTTAACCATGTTCAGCAGTAGACAGCCAACACAAAACGAACTCAGTGGTATTTTTGTAGACTTTTTGTCTCATGTTGTCCTGTTTGGGCATTTCTTTTGTCTTACTGATAATTTGCTTATATATAAGATTTCTGATTTTGTGTTTTAATGTTTGTGTGTATGTGCCTTTTAAAAATTATTCTGATTTGTTTAGAGTTTTTGTTCATTTCTTTCCTAAAGAGAGAGGGAAAGAAGGTGAAGCATGGGTTGGTGGGGAGAGGGAGGGATCTCAAGGAGTTGGGGAAGAGGAAACCAAAATGAGAATGTATTATATGAAACATAATTTCAATAAAAATGCAAATAAAATAAAATAACAAAAACAAAATCTCTTAAAATAAATAAACAAAAACAAATAACATGCTTCTTTCTTGTGTGTTGGGTGTTTTGAAATTCCATTCTTCTCATGCCATTTAGCCCATCATTTCCAGCTACTGCTGGTAACCAGAATCCATGGTTATAAGCACATTCCTTGGATATATTTTGGCATTTTACTATCAATAAGTGCAAAGTTAGAAACAGCATAAATTTATATTATTTATACTCCACAAAAGAAACTATCTGCGTTTTTACACAATAATTATCTGTGCTCTTCTTTTTCCTTTTGTAGCACTAGGGATCAAATCCTGGAACTTGCTCATGCTAGGCAAGTGTTCTGTTGCTAATTTACATCTCTATCCCTTCTGGAGATCTTTCTAGAAATGTAAATGCATGATGGGAACATTCATTTGAATAAAATAACCCCACATTAGGCTTCAGAACAATGTATTTCTAAGCTATCTTCACAATCAAGTACTGAGCTTTTATGTAAGCAGTCTAGAATGTAGTGAGGGAGAGATATTATCTTCTTAGAATGTGCAAGGTAGTAGGTTCTATTCCCAGGATAGCAGGAAGGAAGAAGAAGTTCTCTAAGCCATAGTTTTACGGTATAAGGCAGTATCGCTGGTATAGTAAAGATCTTAACTAAGAGAAGAAGGTGATGGTGGTTAAGTAAGCATGGATGCTTAAGAATGCCACACAGGAAAGGAGTCATTGAATACCTCTATAAATATGTAGATGCCACACACATTTTAACATAGAATTATTTTGCTTGCATTTTTTAAGAAATTAATCCAGAAAGTTTAATGGCAGGGGAAGTTTCAGGAAGATGAGGAGTAACAAGCTGTGGAGTAGAAAAGGACACATGGTCGAGAAATGTGACCACAGCGCCTGCTTCTGTCTGTAGTCTTCATTTTAATTAGTGCCATTGATAGAAATGTGAGCACATAGTGCTTTAGGTTTTGTAAAAGCTGTTTAATAGTTCCAGTTCCCTGCATATTCTCTTGTATTAATGTAAGAGATTAAATGAAGTGTTCTCCCTTTAACACATTTTAACAAAATTCTTCAAAAAAGATTTTCATATATAATGGTTTCTGCTCATTTTGCATCCAATCGAGACAAAATATATCTTGAACTTCCCATTTAGACTGAGAACCCAGCATGAAGTTTAACTCACAGGGAAAATAATATATGCGATGACAATCAGTGTCTAAGCATGGCTAATTCTTCCTGGGTGGGAATTATTAAGTGACCCTTCCACCATGGCACCTGGCAGCCAAGTGGCCCCTTCAGAAGCGCTGCTGGCAGTTGCGATGGTCTAGAGGATGGAAGAATCAGCAGGCTGGCAATCTGCACTGATCACTCTCTCAAAAGTAAAAATATGTATGTAGTAAACTAAGTATTGAAATTTTCTAAGAAATCCGAAGATAAATATGTAGCGTGCATAAACATTTATCAATCAATGTGATTCTCAGGGTGAGGAGGGGTTAACAATATCTGTGATTACAGGAAATAGAAACAAATCAATGAGCCAAGAAGCATCATGTGTGTTTCAAAAGTCTGCCTTTCTCTGAGACGGTCACATCTACAGGAGATGATTCAGCACAAGCCACTGCCAGAGGCATGTATGCACACAGAAATGGAGTTTTACTCAGGCTGAAAGACTCTCCTAGTTTTACCTCACTTACTCAACCATCACAGCCTCTTAGTGAACAAACAGAAAGAGAAGTAACAACTATTCAAGTCCTGGCTCCCGAAGCTGAAGGTCATCAGATCAGTTATAGGACCCTAGGCTGGCCTCACACAATGCAGCAAAAGAGCAATCATTTAACTACTGAACCAGAGCCATCTGTAAGATGTTCTTCACATCCAATGCAGAACATCTACTATGTGGTGGTATTGTATTCCCCAAAATATTGTGCACCCTAATAAATTTATCTGGGGTCAGAGAACAGACAGCCACTAGATACAGAGGCTAGAAAATGGTGGCACTCACACCTTTAATCCTAGCATTCCGGAGGCAGAGATCCATCTGGGATCTCCATGAGTTCAAGGCCACATTGG